TATTGATGAGAAAGGAAGACATTTGTCGTCTACGCTAAACAATAAGTAAAATTTGAGGGACAGAAAGGATTAGAATGAAAAGATGAGAAATAAATGTTCGTGGAGGTTACAACACCTGATAATTCAACCTTGAAAAATTGCCAATAACTGTCCTCAACAGTGATACAAAATATTGTACTCTTCAATGACATCATTTTATCGATATTATTATAATATTATCAATAAATAACAATAGCGAAAAAAATGATAATAAAAAGAGCACAATAATGACATCTTAAAATGGATAATAATTAAACGATGAATAAACGATAACTTAGTAGCATGCATGAATTAATCCAGTCGTATGTGAATACAACTTGAACTACGTCTATTCATATTTACAGCAAAACACCGATATCAGTCCGTGAATACAGCTTGAACTACGTCTATTTACAACAAGACACCGATATCAGTCGTGAATGCAGCTTGAACTACGTCTACTTACAGCAAGACGTGAAAAGAGCTTGAGCTACGTCTATTTACAACAAGACAACGGTATCAGTCCGTGAATAGAGCTTGAGCTACATCTATTCACAACAAGACACCAATATTAATTAATTTTAACAGACACCGATATTAACCGATTCATATGTTAAAATTTCACTGAATAATTGCTTTTTAATTCTCAAACAAAAAGAAGGCATAAATGAATACGCGAACTGTGCATTCCTTTTTCTTAAAATAAACAGTGATATATTAATAGGAAGGATGAATGATTCTCATGCAATGAGATAGATGTATATTTAAAGTATTGCAAAAAGGGTATCTACCACAGGTAATTCTCGAATAAGAAAATAGTGTTTAATTGATTATTTATGGGAATGCATGAAATGATACGACAATGTTCAGCAAATGAATTTATACGATGAATTTAAAATTCCTGATTTTGAGCCCTAAAAAATTTTCCTCTCTTTATTGCTATCTCTCTCTCTCTCTCTCTCTTTCTCTTTTATTGCTTTTTTTTTTAAAGAAATTTCTCTGTTAAGGATTATTTTTATTTATTCTTTCGCATTTGAATATTTTGGTAAGAATGAATGAGAACACTTTAAGTTCTATCGTTATCAATTCGTACAAAATTTTCTTTTACAACTTTAGTCTGAAAGTATTTTGATTAAGTTGAAAATTCAATAGTAATATTGTCTATATTTCAAACTTAGAAGGAAATATTCAACTTGAAAGACATTAACAATCTTATGGACTAAAAGTATTTTTGCTTTTCTGTTTGTCTCTTTTGAATATCCTTGAAATACATTCAATTATTCCTGATTTTACTTTGCCAGATGAATGAGTTAACTTAATTTAATTTAATTTAATTTAAAAAGTGTTATAGCATTGAAGGTAAAAATTACGTTGAAAGGTGCAAAAAATATACATCAAAAGTATTGAATAATTAACCACCGATCAGCTAGCTGCTAACTGTCAGATAAGAAAAAATGAAAGTAGAAAGACGCTGAAATCATCGCTTTCATTACCTGTCAATTACAAACTAACCCATATATCTTATAAGGTCAGTTAGTTTCTACCTACAGTTTCTATTATTTCGGAATTTTTTTGCAAGAAAGATGATCCTCAGCGCAAATGGTAACAGAGATTTTAGGATAAGTGCATTGAAATCATAATTTTGCCTTCCTATTCTAATAAAGAGTTTTGAAGCAAAATATAACAGTTAATGTATTTTTGATAAAATGTTCGGAAATTTTAAAAGGTTTTTTTTTCAAAATTTCTATTTATGAATACTGGCACTTAAAAAAATTACTTCAAAGATAAGACTAAACTATTTTCTTTAATCATAAAATTGAAATTTCTTCGATATATATCATAAATTCGTTTATTATATATTATCATTTATAAATTGCTATCATTGCTTAATACTAAAACATGCAAAAGTGTTTCTGAATAATGAGCGATATCCGCTTCCTTTACGATTATTTCATATTTCAACAATTATGATAATTATACACATATGAGAAAATATTTTTAACTGTTCTCCACCTCTCATATTTTTATTATAATTTGTTATTTTTCATAAATTTCTCCTACGATGAATATTTCAATGATATGAGCTTTATTGTTTACTGATTAATTTCAGCCTTTATAATTAATCATCATTTGATTATGATTATTTGATTACTGCTTCGAATTCAATCAAAATTTATTTTCATTTCAGCTTTACGATTTCAATATATATATTCATCGATTGCTGGTTGTTTTCGTTGTACAGCTAATTACATCACTACAAATTATATAATAACTCTCAGAAAGCATCTTAAACAGAAAAACGGTAATTAAATTAATTAGTTGAACGCCTGTTAGCTCGTGCATTTTTATGTCTGCGCAAAATCTAAAAGACATTTGCGCTTAAATTCATATTTTATCATTGGAGAAAGATTAAAGCACCAATACTTTATCTCTTTTCTTTCTTTTTCTCCACTTATCCGAAGATTATGCTTATCACTTTCATTCTAACTTTTAGTTCATTCCATTAAAAAGATGAAACGATCAATATTCTGTGTCGAAGTGTATTATCACTTATTCATTACCTAATTAAGCTAATGAATATATATATACATTAATTGAAAAAGTTATTAAATGAAAGAGAAGTTTGATACCAGAGAATTTATAATCTCTAAATGTTATCATTGTAGTCAGTAATACTTTAATTTTCAATGATTAAAGTTTAATTATCAATTTCTGTCATTACTACCTTGATGGTTTCCAAAAACTTCGAAACTTCTGAACTCTGAACTTCAAAAATTGATATGCGTTCTATCAATTTTTTGAATTGTGAATTTTCACCTTCCATTTGATGTCCAAAATTAAATCAAATTATAGATGAGAAAAATATAAGCCAAGTTTATAGCAGACGATACTATGCACCTGAATGTTGAAGTAATCTATTATCATCACATTCCTAAAATTTCATGAAAACACCACCGCTAATTAAAGATTCTATTAATTATTACTCAATCTTTTCTTCTCATTCTTTTCAATTCTTCCATCTCTTATCTTATATATTCAATTTTTCCTCTCTTTCTCTTTCTTAATCAACTTATATCTGTTATAAACGAATACACTCATCTCTTTCTTCATCCATTCAATGTTCTTTTACTATTTACCCATTAATTTTCTCGCTTCACTATTCATTCACACTATCATCCATGCTTTTGCATTTCCGGTTTCTTTGTCTTTTGTCCAGTTTTATATGAGGCGATAATTTCTCCTACAGCTTCTGACCGGACGCATCAATTGATTTTAGTTTTAATTAAAGCTCCTTTATGAAGAGTGGAGCGATATTTTCAAGCTTTCTCACCACTCTCTCTCTCTCTCTCTCTCTTTCTCTCTAAGATTTTACATATGTCAAAGAGACAAAATCACCGTGTCCCCAAGGAACTTTTGATAGTGCGACAAAAGATGCGTGGAAAATTCTGCATTTCTGCTACGATACAAATCATCTCTTCTCATAAGCATACGTCAAAAGTGAAATATCACTGATGTGTACATGAAGAGAATGAACTCAATCACGTACGTATCCATCGTTTTAAACAACAGTTCGCAATATTTCAAAGCGGTGATAATACCAAAGAAATACGAAGCGATAGGTATAATCACTTTCTGATAAAAAAAAAAAGAAAGTGTTAGGATTAAGAGGTAGAGGGAATATGAGAAATTTATCATTTTAAAATTTCCATCTTTCAACTCATCATTTTTCGTCTATTTCAATAATTCTAAAATTCCGTGTGGAAGCAATACATTGATTAATTCATAGTCCTTTTACATCGAAAGGTTGAATTAATTAAATATGGAATTTTTTATTCAGAAAAATTCGCAGCTTACGAATTAAATCGCTTCAACGTTTTTTTATGTATACGTATATATATCTTTGGATAATGGTGAAGAAAAATATATCAAAATTATTCATTAGTTTGTCTATCGCTGTCAACAATTGATCGCAAAACTTTCTATAAAATCGGAAATGAGAGAGAGAGAGAGAGAGGTGAACTTTTGATGAAATCAATTTTCAAGTTGCATAACAATGTGTATATGTGTATCTCTTCATTCTTTTCATATGCCGATGTTATCTGCGAAGTGTTATTAATAATATGAATAAAAATTTTTATTAAATTGAAATTATTTATATCTTTTCTTTCTCAATGAGAATTCGGTAATAATTAATGGAAGCAAAGGGAAACAATGTTTAATTAACTTTATTGCACAAACTTTTCTGAAAGAAAAATTCGATCAATTTTTGAAGATATTCAATTTATTTTTCAACATATTACATTACATTACATTTTTCATTAAAGTAATGTTTGTTGTTAAATTTAAAATTTCAAAATTTATTCATCAAAATTTTAATTAGTGAAATTAATATTATTAACAATAATTTCTGATTATATATTTTTTAAAATAATTTTCGAAACATATAAATTGTTACGCAAGAAATACGAGAATCTAATGTTCATAATTAATTTCAAATCTTTTAAAAAGTGAAAGAACAAAAGCATATCATTGGTTATCACATGTATCATTATAACTATAGGTTCTTTAGAACACAAATATGATTAGTATTGTAATTAATTTGATCACACGATGAACTTCAATCATTACTAATGACTGTTATTAGGTCATCATCTCGTGGCAATAAAATTATCAAATCAATTAGATAAATGACAATTCTTGTAAATCACTTTTTCATTTTGTCATCTTGAAAGAGAAGAAGATGTCTACGATTTTAACCACATGAAATATGGGCCATTTATCCATATTCGAGAATGACGAAGAAAGGAAAGAAAGGCAGAGAAAGAAGAAACGCTGAAATCCATTCAATAATATCCCTTTGTAAATGCTGTGGCGCTGTTTGCAGTTGCTAAAATCATCTGTGGAACGCAGTAGAACAAGTTGTCAACAACATGTCATATCATATTTTTTATTCTTCCATCGTCTTCAGCTATTATTTAATAATGCCCGGGTTGAGTTTTCTGTTGCAGACGGAAATAGCTAAAATGTGTCCAAAGGAGAAAGATTTTTGCATAACAAAAGCTCTACAGGTACAATTGCGCTTTTATATATTTTCATATATTGAAAATTGATTGAATGAATTAATACTCATTCAATATCACCATTTACTATTTTTCTAATTAGCGTTTAGACTATTTTATGAGATTTCTTTTTTAAATTATATTCTAGAAAGAAAGAGGTTAAAAAGAGATTAAATATTTCCCCATTTCAGTTCAATGAGTTCATTGGTAAATATTCCCGTTAAAAAGTTCACTTCTCTAATATTCTAACATGCGGGGAGAAGTATTAACTTGGAACTATATTCAAATGTTATCATGATTTTCGTTATACTAAATAAAATTTTATCACTAATGAGATCTTGATTGCAATATTATAGGGTCAATGCTATGGTAGTAGTGTGAGAGCAGAAACATTGAAACGAACATGTTCATGCGCATGTGATGCTGTACATTTCGATCGAATTCAATCCTGTTGCAAAACAGTCGGCCGACGAGAAATGGAATTTTGCTTACCACTATGTAGATATAATACTACTTTGGATGAAGTCAGTCTTATTTACTAGTAGCCTCCCATATATTCTATTCCTGATATGATAGATTGCTAATAATCGAAAATATTCTAAAATCCAACGACATTTTTTTTAATATGGCCAAGAAGAGAAAGCATGAAAATTTTATTGATGATTTTTATATTTGATCGATACAGCGATTATGAAAGTGTCATTCTCTGGGTGCTCCTAATAAAAGTATAATGTGATGTTGAAAATTTAGTAGTGGAGAATGATAACTATAATTAAAGAAAATAAGTGACTATAATTGAAAAGGCAACAATTAATGTTTGAAGGGATTTTTAGCTTAATTCTGGTTTGGGCTATAAATGTATTTCTCAACTAACTACATGGGCTTATTGCGCTGCTGATGTGAGCGATAATACGGCATGTTGTATGCAAAAAGGTTTTTCCTTCCTTTCTTGCAATTCATTTTATGAATTCTAAAATATACAGGTCAATTTATCTCTGTTATAAAATATTTCATCCAATCATTATTGACTTACCTGTGCAACGACTATCGGATTATTTTTAAAAATTCCTTTTCGTTGACTATATCTTTTTGAAAAAACTCTTACTTAACTTACTTAACTATTACTTAACAATTTGTGTATGAAATTTTCAACAAATTAATGCCAAATTGATTTTAAAATTTCAAAGTTAATTGATCAAAGGGCTCAGAGTGAGATAATTATGCAGTTAGACGATCTCGGATAATGATAACAAACTGTTTAAAAGGATTTCAGATAGAATAACATAGTCTTTATTAAAAAATTAATTACATATAAAACCTTCTTATAAACTATGAACTAGTTTAAACTAGTTAGAATTTTAGCCGCAATATTTTATTAATAAAGAAATTGTCGCTATTCTATTATTTCAATTCATAATTAAGTAATTAAGTTCAATCATTTAAAGGTATCGTCCCAGAATGTTTAAGCTTTTGCAAAGGTGATGTACCAACTTGCGATTTGCAAAGTCTTTTCACCTATCAACCTTGCCTGAGATATATTGAAACGATCACTCATTGTCATGTTAGTTCATCCAAAAACTTTCAAATTTCTGGCTGTAACCTTTAGTGGCGATATTGTCCTTTATAATGATATTCCATGCAATGATCCTTTTAATTTTGCTGCAGTACTGATTGCTTCTATTACAACCATCGTATTTCGTTTTTGCCTTTCAGATGGAAAATTTATTCTCAATGCCACGATGGGATCCAAATTGGGCCGCTCGTTGTGATTGGGATGGAAGTGCTTGAAAAGAAATTCTTCAAGAAGGAAAATATTAGAATATTTAGTGGCGCTGTTGCCTAATACTGTTACTTTAATTATTTCAAAATTAATTCCTGCTTGTGGAGAAATTAGACTTTCAAAGGTAAAGTATAGACAGGGTCAACTGACTGGATAAAAGAAATATAACTTTTACTAATGTTTGGGAGGAAGTTTTAGCAAACCAAAAGTATTTGCAATCTTGTCTAATATTTCAAGTTAATTAATTCCATAATGTAATTCAGTTATTTCTCAACCGCAATTAGATTCATCCTCAAAGATCGCACTGATAAAGCATTGTATTAAAATTAACGCCAAACAATTCCTACCGCCAGTTACAAATTAGAAAAGATCATTGAAATAAACAACATCATTTGAATATGTCAGATTTATTCGCAAAGATAAATGATATCTAATTAATTTCATCATGTACTTTTGATAGTTTAATAAAGATTAGATCCATTACACAAAAACAAAATTAAAAACACGTCATCATCGTTCGAAAATTTAAGATGAATCATCCACTGAAAATATAAAATATGAAAATGGTGGCGCAAAATAATTCATTAAACAAAAGAAAACCATTTGGCAAAGAAAGGATAAAGTATATTTTGGGCGATAAACTTTATCCAACTGCGGAAAATAAATTATCTCTCCCTTTAAATGCTATTTTTTGTTTTAATAAGCTTGACTGTTTACTTAATCTTCTTTTCGGAAAAACAATCTGTAAACAACTATCATTTTTAAATTAACACAATCTTCAGCTCTCTTTCTTATTTTAAAAATCTACCAATTGTATTTTCAAGATATTTTAAAGTTTTAAAGTTATGAATCTAAGGGGAAAATTAAACTTCAACGATTCAAACATTTATCGCTCGTTACTCAAAACTTGAAAGATTACAACACTTTGTCGTCATCACTAATACACATACACTCTTAATGGTGTTTTTTACTTATTCGCAAAAAGCGAAATTCAACAGGAAAAGAAAGTGAAAAATTAAACTTATCCTAATTATAGCAATTTTTCTTTTTGTTAATTAACATTTTATCAAATTGAAACGTTTTCTAAATGTGACATATAATTAATTAGCTTCTAATTTTATCCTGGATCGGATGATACAAATTTTCGAAGATTTAAAAATTAAAAAACTAATGGTTGCAATGATAAGAATATCTGATATCCTCGAATCATTTTTCTAAATTTCAGGGAAATAACTAACAAAAGATGATTGTCAGAGGTGTTATTTTATGTATCGATTTTCAAATCACTGAGAAGCAAATATTTCGTACATTGTTGCAGAAAACAGATAACATTTACATCCTTATTCAAAAGCATGCGAAATAAACCGATCCTAAACTTATTTGGCAAAAGAATTTAAATTTACAAAATTGTTATTCAGCTAGGACTGTTTTTGCAACTCTAATATAAAATCAGCCCATACTGTATAATTTACTGTATAATAACTGTATAATTTACTGCAAACGACTACTGTGTAATTTAAGCAAAATTCAACTATTAGGATCAGAACTTGCGAATTGAAAATTTTCCGCTTAATTCATCTATTATGAGGAAACTTTAACAGATAAAATTCAAAATTTTTTTATGCCTCTGATTTTGAAAAACTCCAGCAGGCATAATTTTTGTTACGAGGAACTCTCGGGTTTTGTACTGAATCATCTCGAGATATCAAATTTGCTTAAATTTTTGTCACTAAGAACCTTATTTTCCAATCATACTTACCAATTTCTCCTATCAAATTATGACAATTCTCGTTCGATATCACAATTCACGACCCTCTAGCTTTTTGTTCAAATTATTTTCGAAATACAGAATAATTTGTAAAATCTCCCGCTAATTTAAGTTAATTAAAAAAGGAAAATTAAACATCACTTCATTTTTTTTTTCAAATTTATGTATAAGTTAAGAAAAATTCTTCAACCAACAAGCATGCATACGAAGTTGAAGCACCTTTTGTCCCTGAAGAGAACTGCAATTCGAAATTGAAATATGAAACTAAAGATCTTCAGTGTCTGAACTCATTTTAATTCTTACCGCTTATATTTTCACTGCCCAAGCCCTGAAATCTCTAATTAAATGTTTTTTTCCTTTTACCGTTGGTAAATAGTTAGATGATTTTCCATTTACTATGCAGCTGAGCGTTGTTACTCAACAGCATTTCTGAATTATTGTCTGACAATATTAAATTTTGCAGTACTATAAGGGTCAAAGAGATCTTACCTATATATGCCAAAGTGAATGGTGTAACATAAAAATGCTGTAAGAATAAATTTAAGCAATGGAACACTAAAATAAAACAAACTGAATACATGATATGAGACCAACGTTCAACATGAGGCATATGGACTTAGGGTACAACAAAAACAAGAAAAATAAAGGAAGAAGTAACTGACATATTTAATTCCATATGAATTATATTTATATACAGTGACATCTACACTTAATCCTCTGCTATAAGACAAAATCAAACTAAATAAGAATTAGCAGATCACTGTGAATGACTTCAAAAAAATTGAAAGGGTTTAAAAACAGAACGGAACATTTCATAGCTTCAGAGTCTAAAGAAACTTATTTCAAAAGAAAAAACAATGAAGAGAAAATAGAGAAAAATGATAAAGACAAATTTGGATTTTACCAACGTTACTAAATTTCGGATTACGGACAAGAATCAATTTTAGCATTCTCAGGATCGCCGTCACCTTTTGCGCTTTTCGTTTTCCTTTGTGCTTCATCTTCAGCTGGTCTTTTTAGCTTTTTACGTACCAAACTGCTAACATCATCAACGGGCATTTCTTTTACCGATGATTTAAGTGACACTTCCTTTCCATTTTCCGCGTCAATACTTTCCTGAAATGCACCGAAGATTAGATTATACTCGGCATACTCAACATTAGCATTTACAATCTTAAAAGAATATGTTTGAAAGAAAAATGATAAAAAAACCATGAAAGTAATAAAAGGAAGGATAACGAAAACAAATGAAAAGCTGCTTAAAAAGTAAATAAACGTGAGAAAATTGACTAATCAAATAAAACAAGTACAAACGAGCCAAGCATAATTTATTTTTTTTAAACACATCTTTACATAATAAACCGAAAAATATACATGCGACTGGAATTAACAATAGTTTTAATCCAGCGTAATTTCACAGCAACATCATTTTTCAAAATCGACTCACTTTTATTAAACTTCTCGCACTTTCCAAAGAATCGTCGATTTTTATTTGAATTTCGGGCAGTAGAGATTTAAGTTCATTAATTTCTTCCTTGATTTTTTCTGCTTCTTCCTGACTTTCATGTGCTAGTTGTGCTTCGAGTTTCACTGGAATGCGTGTAAAAAACATTTATTTCCATACTCTGGATAAGAGACACACCACATACAAACTCTCCCTCAAAAATTCCTACATAAATTTATATTTTCTGTCTTCATAATTTGACAATTTACATATACGAAGAAACAAATAGTGAATAAAGAATACTTCAAGCAAAATTCAACTCACCTAATCTCGCTTCCAGAATTTCTTTTGCATTCCCAAAAACTTTAGCAGCGTTTCCGAAATCTTTCGAAAGATTGTGAGTTCGTCCTTTTACAAAATAAGCTTGCGCAACCCGCCGGTCGACTCCACCGAAAATGCTTTCCGCAAGTAAGATACAAGCGTCAATATCATCAATCGCTTGCTTGTAATTCTCTGCATCGGTTGCGCAATCAGCGAGATCAAGAAGAACTTCCACTTTCTTCTCTTTCCAACCTTCTTCTTCTAGATGCCTGAAATTTAGATTCTCAAAGTGACCCCGTTGAATTCCAAACATTATTTTTTCCCTTCATTATGAATGATTCTACTTAATTACTTTTTCCAGATGATTACCAAATCATATGAAATTTGAAAGAATTTGCTTCCATATCCACATTTTATAGAAGATAACTAACTGTTCAGTAATATATGCGGATACTGCTGAATTAAATTAAAAGAAAACCTCAAAACAGATATGACGTTGGACATGAGCTTAAAATAGTGTTTCGTAAAATATTTAGAATATACCACTAAAATGACACCAAGCCTTAACCTCCACTAAATAAAATACACACTTATCACAAATGGTTCGAGCTACTTCCAGAGTCTCCCACGCTAGCTGCAGATATTCAACATCTCCAGCGTCACTGGATTCATCCTTGCTATCATGTTCCGAAATGCCATCCTTATTATCCTCAAATTTATCATCTTTTTCGTCTTCAGTTTCCTTTTCTTCCTTCTCCTCGACCTCTACATCGTCATCTTTCTTTTTTCCTTCAATTTTGCTTCTTTCTTCTCTATGATTTATAATTTCATCGTCATCTTCCCCTTTATCTACAATGCATTTATAATAATAACGGATCGGTTGCACAAACACTTTTTTTTTTTTAAAAAAACACATAATTACAAAACAACCGTTACCGCTTTTGACTACACGATCTCGCTTCATCTGCTCTTTCATGCTATTTCTTTCACTTTCTATAGTCACATCTGTTATAATCTTGTCCGCAATATTAGCCTTTTCTCCATTCTCCTTAAAATTTAATGAATACTTCTATAAAAAAATTACTTTAAATTAAAATTGTGAAATACTTGGTTCACCACAAATTAATTTTTTCAGCTAAAGACAAATGCTAATCTCAAAAAGTTTTTGGACATTGCATGGAGTAATCGAAGAGTCAAAAAGTCACAATTTTTCCACATACTTTACAAGTCAAATTTTAATTATTTAAAAGAAATATCACTTATATTCCGCAACCATCAGAGTGCCTTTTTTGTAATACAAATATATCGATAGAAACAACATAAGAACTTACTTCCTTATTTTTCTTCAGGATATTGGAAGAATCAACCCAACAACAGGCAATTTTATTCTTTAAGCCTTCAACATTCTCTTCCAAGGCATTGCCAATTTTTTCTATAATTTCAGCTCTTTCTTCTTCCAAACAGAGAATTAGCTCTTTTTCAAAAAAACACATCTAACTGGTAAGAAATCAAAAACAAAAAATTTAATTCCAAAAATCAGAAATTAAAAATGACCAGTAGGTGATTCCACTTCCTCGAAACCTTCACCCTTTTCTTCAGTAGTTGTCATACCCTGCAGAGCATTTGAAAAAACGCTATCCTCCAGTCTGGCCAATTCAAGCAAAGTCCTGCCATAATACAGATGAGGGTCGAATGTTGGGATAGCGAAATATCCATAAATGCTGACGCTGAAATTCCAAGGATGCTGTCTCATATTTTATTATACATCCCACAATCTATAATTTGATGATAGCTATTAGAAGCGATTTCAAATAGGACAAAAATCGAATCTCGATAGTTGTAACCATTCAATTAATTTAATGCAACAGTTCCGTTTCAGTTCAAGTATAAATGTACTCAAGTCTTTTATGTAACTATGAGCAAAACCTACGAAAGTTCAGCAGCTTCGCTCAGTTTTATTTCAGCTTCTTTGAATTTCCCTGATACATATGCCTGTTTTCCTTCAGCTAAAAGCGCTTTGAATTTCACAATATCCCTGAAATTAAATAGTTGCATCAATTTTAGCCAACGAACAACTTGAAGAAATCTAGTATAAACAAAAACCTACAAGAGTTACAGCGAAAACATACCAACAGAAAATACAAAAAGTAAGAAAAGATAACACTTCAGAGTCAAATCTGCTTCACTTAAGCTTCAAAAAGAATTAGACGTAGAATTTAAGCAATGGAAAATGAAGATTAACTAACTCATCATCCTTCTTCTCGTTGATAAATTCATCGCTTCTCGAGATGGGTGCCATCATTCGCGTTTTACTGAAGATGTACATATTACGAATGACAACATAATTATATAACAGTTCACGCCACGCTGACACGTACGTATCCTTCCTTCCACCCTCCCGTACGGCCATATTCGCGCCCCAAATTTGTTTCACGCCTGTTTAATTTTGTCGCGGAAAGTTCGGGAGTCAAATAGCCAAAAACGCAGATTCCTTTGGATCATAACAAAGATCATTGTGTTTCACAAAGAACTGATTGTGGAATGGAAATGCTTACTGAGGATTCTTACCTATCACTTCATTTTATCAGGAAATTGTTTAATTAAATTCAAAGCGCAAATGTAGTTTGGACTATTTTTTCTTTGGGATGCTCAGATTTTTCTAGAACAATTTCAGTTGTTAAATTGGAAGTTGTAGGTGTTGTTTTGGGTGTAACGTGGCCAAGTAGTGCGAGTAGGCAAATGTAATACTCTTATCCGCATCTTCACTAAAAAAGTTAGATCACTTTTCTGAAGTTTTCTGCTTTATCTAATAACCTTATCAAGCATTGAAATAACTTGAAAATAGTTTTCCAACTTTATTATGGCAAATTTCGAGAACATAGAATAAAAACTAATATCATTTCCATTATAGGTCTATTTTTTTAAGGAGCCTATTTTTCTGACATAAATAGTAATTATCTTGTAACTTCCAAGCAAATGTTGACCATCTCTGCTTTGACCTCATTTTTGGTTGTGCACTTGCTTGATTTTAGATTGATCTACAGCTGCAATCTTCCTTTAAAGTTAAAGAAAGCGGAATAATGAGTAGCATATAAAGATTTGAGAAAATATTTCCAGGTGTTAATCATTCGATTATCATTATTATGGTTTAAATGATATTAAGCCATTTCGGCACTTTTTCTTCTGCTCAAGAAATTGGATGTTATGATTAGTAAGTAAATTTGTATTATTTCGATAATGTATATTATTTTATCTTTCCTATCTGTTTTCTCTTTGGTTTTTGTGATATGTATTCATATTTATGGATGAACGTTATCCATAATCAAGCGAGATATCTCTTATTACTAAATGTATCTATGTTTCAGGTTATACTTACACGACTGTTCATTTCTTTGTGATTGTCTTATTTGTTTTACACAGTCAGATGAAGTTCTAATGAAACGTCGCCATGTTTTAAAATATTTATTATAGTTATAGAGAGTAATAGATTGCTAGGGTCACATGTACTTTTTACAAAACGACAAGAGGACACTAAAACAATCAATTAGCAGTGGTATGTTCACAAAACTAGAAAGAAGTTAACGGAATTCTGACATATAGGCTTCATTTATTGTGAATATTTACAATAAGCTATTTTCTGATACAGTATTTGATCTCTTTATTTTCTGATACAGTATTTGATCTCTTTAGCTTCAGGATATTATATATAGACTTAGGTATTACACAGGTATTACACTATAGAGATACTTTTTGCTAGTTACGTATATTTATATTTTGCGATATCTGTATTCTACTAATTTCCGGCAATCTACATTCTGGTTGTAATAAATCAAAATAGTTCTTCTTTTTTCTCAGTTAGACCCTGAATTAAGCATGTTCAAAGTGAAAACAATTAGAATGAAGTGAATTGAATAGTTTGAGATGGGAATTAGAATTCTGAGTCTCGTTCACAAAGTTTGTCTTATTATGTGGCTTGGATTCACAATACTTCAGTGCAGAATATCAAGTAGTCTTATTTTTAAGGCTCAATTTTGAGTTCGAAACATAATTTAGTTATGGAGCGATTTTGATATATCCAACGAAAAAAGCAAACGAAATGAAAGCGACGGTTATTTTTTGCTACGAATAGTTTTGCTACGGATGGGTAGCAAAATTATTTAAACTATTTTTTCATTAAATAGGAAGGTAAGTTTCATCAACTGATATCCTTCGTCCAGGAGGCATTCTTACGTCCTTGGATCTATTCTGAAACTTAACAAATAAATGAAGCGATTCAAAACTTTTAAATGTGGAACAACAAGTTCAATAATTGATTTCAATTTCCTGAACTAAAATTTAATGCCCTAAATACTTATCTCGCCGGGTTAATGGCCTTAAACCAATTTTATTTGCCATTTGGCATTGTAAAGTTAAAAAAAGGTACTTATTCCGTGTTCCATTTCCGAGTTTGAATTCCTAAAAATCTTTCGAAAATATAATCATTTATACTTGTATGGAACTGAACTCACTTGCATTCCTGTTGATATAAATTTACCGTCCACAAATTTCCCTATTACACACGATGTCATCGATTGCTGTAAAATTTTTAGTAAATGTATTATGTACAATCTGAGATATGCATACAAAAGCATAATGATCTCTGTATAAATGCTTAGTGCAATATGTAAAATACCTGGAAAAAATTCCGGGTATTTTATATAGGGGATTTTTTATGCTTGCAAACTGATTACCAAAAATTTTTTGAAAAAATTGTTTAATTTTTGATTTAAGAGTTCAACCCTTTTGATCTTGGCTGTGTAATCTGACTTAGTTTTATTCTTATATCAATTCAAGAAATACATACACTTCTTTTTACTCGTTCGATACTTGCCTGAAAATCATTAGATGAAAGCTGTAGTGAAACTTAAGTACAGTTGATCGATTTCTTATTGATTATAAATTTCGAAATTCTTCTGATTTGAAAATTATTTGTGTAACTAAAACTTCTGATTCATCTTTCGATGAGTTGACGAACTTATTGTGAACATTTGTAGACGAAGTCGTTTTCACCTGAACATTTATGTGTTTCATTAGAAGCAAATTTTAATCTGCGCAGAAGAAAATAGTCCTGATATTATCGGATGTCCTTAAGGGACATTGTCCAATGCGGGCAGTAACACTTTTTGGTAATACAGTAGACTTAAAAAATCTTCGAGAAATTAAAATTGAAACTGGAATTCATTGTCTTTTATGATAAGTTTCAAATCATTGCAACATGTTTACACGTACAGGTAGCGTTTGGCTTGAAGAAGGTTGTGCAGTACTTTTTTGGCTTTTTGGCACTCGAATCTTTATCCTAGTTTCTGTGCTGGATGGTGGTGACCGGCTTCCTGGGTTCCGGATTTGTACGTAAGTTGTCGATGACTGGAAGTTCAAGAGTTGGCTAAATAGAAGGAACTTGGCTATGAGCTACTGGATTCAATTTATAATCCGCAGAGGTTGGCATGTTTTAAAACTGTAACAGTATACAGATTGAAAATAGATCCCCTGAAAGATTTTCAGAATTGTTTGCTTTCACGAATTTCGATTTCTAGCTCTTTTATTTTAATAAGTAGCTGGAATTTAAAGTCTCAGTAGTTGTTTTGAACTCTTTTCAACCAACTATTTTGCAAGTAAAAGTTGGGATTTTTAAAAAATAAAGATTTTACTGATCTCATACTTCTCTCAGTGGTTTCCTTGAATGTCGTTTCTCTGAGCTCCTGTTCGACACCTCACGTATTGTATTCGTGGGCCTGTATTTTCAAATTTTCAAATGCAATCTTAAGCTGTTCAAAATTTTCGAGCAGAGATTGGTATTAATGTTGTATTATAAGCTGTCTTTATCCTCTATTTGGGCTGATTATCATAATGCTTCTCTGTGTTCTAGGATCTTATTTCCCCTACTTTTTGTATTTTTTTCCTATTGAACAAATATAGTCAGCTTTGTGAAACTTTATTTGAACATAATTTCAAGTGGTCCAAGGTTACTAATTGTTGTTCCCGGATTTTATTCCGTACCTGTTGCGTTCATTTGGAAGGACGGGCGATACCCCAGGTTTTCCTTTGAATGAGTACTTGACAACAACCTCAACCTCAGCATTCAACTCAGTTGCAAGGGTTTCCGCTCCACTCCGAAACTTTTCAAAAATTCGTTGCATTTAGTTTCGGCTGCACGTACCCTTTCGATTTTAGCAATGAGCATTAAACCAAATAGATTTACTTTTTGTTTCTTTCTCCAGCACTAACAATTTGCATATTTTTTGTATACTTTCTATTTAGAATTCTTTGCTTGAAAGGAATTTCGATAAAACTATACGGATAAATTTTACAGGATACCAAACGACAAAGTCAGTTGAAGAAGTTTTGGCATCGCAAAAAAATATATACAAGTTGAAAAAGAAAGAAATTTTTAAACATGATCGAATTTAAAAGATACTTTGAACGGAAAATGAAATAGAGTGGAAAAAACATTAAGCAGCTAGTGATTGCATACTAGAAAAATCCGAAGTACTGATCATTGATGAGAGTGATAAAGACATAACCCGATCAGAAAAAAATCCGAAAGAAGAATGCAAAAATATTATTTATTACTAAAATATAATTGCGAAATTCAAGCAATGAAATTTTCACTCAACAACTATTCAATTTTTTGGGTGAACGTGATGGTGGCGCGATACGTCCACCCCAACAAAGCCGAAAATTGCCTTTTCGCCATTTGATGTTTGGATTCAGCAGCGCACGGCACCAAGTTGGAAAAGAAAGTATTTCACGATACAGCCAAATAAACAGGAACTGTGCAAAGGAAAATGGCAGTGGTCCATTCTGAAACAAGATACAATTCAGCATAGATTGGGGCACTGAATATCACCTTACCAAAGATCTTGGTGATTGTTGCAATTCATGTCAACAAAGTTAAGGCTAAGATAAGTTAAGGCTGGTAACAAAAGTTGCGATAAGAAGGATAGATGTGAGGCAAAGATGAAAGCTCCCTTTTCCTCTCCAAGAAAGAATGATTTCATTTAAATATAACTTCTTAATGAAACAAGGAACAAAGAGGAAATTACCAGCCTTAACTTATCATAAAGAAACTTATGAGTGCAGTTATCAATGAAGCCGGCAGAATATAACGTCATGATCAAGAGAAAATGAACCTGAACGAAGTGGATCAAAGTGTAGTCGCAAGATATCCAGTAAATGAGATGAAAAATAAAATAATAAAGAATGTAAGTTGGTGAAGATGGAAAAAGAATTAAGACAGCACAACATCCGAGTATGCCAGATAGAAAGCAATCTTGCAAAGGTTCCAATATTATCGTATGAGGCAGCATTGCTATACGTAATTTTATCCACCTGAAAATAAGTGCGGAAAGAACTTTAAGCGCTACCAGATAACTATAATTGACGAATTCAATCACTTTGAAGGATAATCAATGGCATTCTGAGGCTTAGGTATCAAGCTATAAACGATTCAAGATCAGCCGATCAGTGGCTTTTTAATATTACAAAATTGCATTTCAAATCATTCATGCTACGATTTGAAAAGCCTCTTCGAAAAAATCTAGTGCGAACCTGCATATACGTTCATGAAAAGTGTTCGGATCGGGTCTTGCTGTGTTTTGCATCGCAGGTAGACCAGAAATGGCAATTTTCCATCCCCTTAAGAATTACAAATTTTAACACTCTAATTATGAATTTTATAGAAGTTAGCTGCTCCAATAATGCATTATTATGGTTTATTCCTCACATGAAGGATGCCAAATCAAATATTTCATAAATAAACGCAGCAATTTGGTTCATCTGTTGATATATCGACACTCAAGTCCTGTTTGTGATCCAATTCCCAAAATCAAAATTACTAAAAATATATGCCTTTTAGCAAATGCAACACCGAAGAAGTAATCCTCAGCAAGATAATCACCGAAATTTTCCATGCCGCCAGCATCCTCCAGAGCGCATTTTCTCATTAGCGATGACATTCCCGTAGAACAAATAAAACGTAAACAATTAGCAACTAAGTAGATACGCGCATGCCCCGTACCAAAATATATCTGAAATGCTAGAAAAATGATTATCACGTAACCTAAACTCTTAGATTACCTTGTCTCATTCAAAAGAAAAATATAACTTGTGATATATTTGAAGAAAAGTGCAGAAAGTTTCAGGTCAAAAATTGATAAAAGTACGACTTGTTACCTGCTCAAGATTAGCTCCGAAACCTGGTCTATCGGCACAAAAAGGCATCTGTGTTACTAGTGCTACATCATCCCTCATAGCGTTTACCATATCCATCAACGCATCTTCACGCACTAACAAGGAAATAATGAAATTCATTCTTGATTTTCAAATATTATCGTAAATTTCGTAAATTTATGAATCATTCCAATATTTAAAATAACAGAAATTCAACAATAAAACTTGCTATAAATTCCACTATCACTGATCAGAATTAATGGATATTTCGAGGCACGATAAGCAGGCACCATATTATCAATCTTTGGATTTAATCCAACATTACCACCACCTGAGAAAAAAACCAGAATCCAAAGTCTTTAAATGTTATATAATTTAAGAAATTAGTATAGAGATAATTTAGAAAGGCAAGGAAAAGAGTAGATACAGAACTGATACTGGAAAACTTTCTTTCAGTAGAGATAGCAAAGCATATAACGTATCATAGATAATTTTAAATAAGAAAAATGAAATAAACTTAACACAAAAAAGGCGTGCATCAATATATGGATATTTCATCATTAGAGCTTCAACGACTTTTTGAGAGGGATCACTCGCATCATGCAAACAGAACAGCAATTCATACTGAAAGCAAAAGAATTTTAGAATACTTATTTATAATTCTCTTTCAATGTAAAACACTGTATTTCTCAGAGATGAAAAAACTTCTTGGCTGAAAATTTGCAGGATAACTAACAGTCTAACCAAGTACGAAAATATGGAAATTATTTATGACTTGATTGTACAATGACATAACAAAATGGAACTGGAACTTTTGGCTACGAAGCACTGATATTCATTTTACTTAAATAGCATTTATGACTTAAACATGAATTTGATATAGAGAAATAACATTTAAAGAGTAACTTACACAATGATATTTCAGCTTAAAAAAACTTTCGAGGTTGAAAAATAAATTTTCGTCAGTGCCAACTAATGGCTTGATAATTGATACTCCAGCTGTATCGCTCCTCATGGTTATTGGTCGATGCAAACGATACTTCCTGAAGTGCAAAAAAAATGTGGGATTCAAAAAGAGATTCTTCTTCATAACATTTCTTACTTTTCATTAAAAAAAATCATTTACATATTTAATTGAATTTTATGTATGAAGGCATTGTGAAAGAGTTTGATTTGAAAAACATAACAGCGTTTAGGTAAGAGTTTGAAAATGCAAATCAAAAAGAAGACAAGAAATGTACGCGTAGGAGATTGCAATAATATGAACGATGTACAGGCCACTAACGAACAGGAAAATACAGATTGCAATTGGGAATGCACAACTCGAGATGAAATCGACCAATGCAAGCGTGATTTGCATCTGAGGCCATCTGAAATAAAATTTGTTTGTTTTTGTCGATTGCACGAAATAACTGACACTTACCAAAATGGTAACAAGGTAAAGTGTAAGGATCGAATTATGCCATTTTAAGATATACTAATGTAAATGAACTGGAAAGCAGTTTTGTTAAACTTACAAGGTTAAAGATTATTGTGGGTGTTTGATTACCTTCAACCCTAATCAAACACTCATAATAATCTTTAACTTCGGAGTTTAATAAAACTGCTGAAGTTTACTTTTAATAAGTACTCCACAGTTAAAAACTAGTAAAAATACAACAACCATACGTCAGGCCGAAATGACAGTAAAACGAGGCATAGGAAACTATACCAAACGGCATTACCCACCATAATCCCCAATAAGTAGCGAAATCCAATTTTCTTCGTGAAGTTTCAATTCAATTTCTTTCCTCTCTCTTGTATCTGCAATTCCTCTGCATGACACCAGGAAGCTAATTAAGCTTGTCTAATATCCACTGACCACAATTGCTTTAAATGAAAGCGATTTTGTTCTTTCTTCATTAAGATCAATCAAAACATGGATAACAGCACTTATCCAATGATACATTAGGTAAGTATGTAATCTTAATCATTCCTATCGATAAATAACAAACTCAACTAAAACATTTACAACTGATTCATTTCATCACGACTGGCCGATCTTTTCATCTTTAAAATAAATAACTGAAAGAAAAAGAAATGAATGAATGAAAAGTATAACGAAAAATGACAGTGTTCAATGTTTTCGGCAAACCCAAATGAAGGCATGAATAATATCAGTGCTTTTATTGAATAATTGACATTTAAGCGCATATATGCAAAATATGCAGTATACAACCTTGCAAAATAAAAAACAAACATACAAATAACAGTAATTTGAATAAATAAATAAAGAAGTATGTGTCAATCTAGTACCTTTTGTTTCTTGCATATCGGATAAACAGTTTGCAATATAACTTCTTTACAGTAAAGTACAAATTAAAAAATAAAAAATTGATGGCAAAAAGTGAAGAACCGTAAAAATCAAAACATAACCACATGTGCAAGTTACATTGTTCCCCATGAATATTATTACTCATCTTTGATAAACAACTTTATTTTCGACAATTTCTCAATTTCTAAAATCGTAGAAATGTATGAAAAAGTTTCCATAATTCGGCATATCAATAATGGTTGAAATGATATGTTTAACATTGGTTACAACAGGATATGAAAGAATATTTCGTTTGTTTGAAAGAGAACAATGCATTATTGTTACAATTTATGAAAATTTTCATATTTCAAAAATTTCTAAAAATTCAGATAGCAAACTTTAGTTATGCAAAACAGTAAGACAAGATGATATATGCATATATAATACAATTAAATGATAGGATAATAAGAAATTAGTTGAGCATAACTCTAGTCTCAAAATATTATTGTCATTTTTGAAATTTGCTCTCTGTTCATCTCATATGTTACTTTCAAAAAATTTTTCCTCAAGTTTGAAAAATATTACAACAACTTTTTGACACATTTTCTTCGCATACTGTAAAAGAAAGAATGATATGAATAATTTGAAAACGTGCAATATTGGAATATAAGAAAAGTTTTTTGACGAATAACTAACTTAACAGTACAAAACAGCATGAAAGTTGATGGATGTTGTATGAAAAAGTGCATCATTAAAAAGTACATTTGTCTCTTCGTTTTAAAGATTCTCTAATTGAATTCTAACTTTAACTTCACTGCGCTAATTTTTAATTAAAAAAATTGCTATTTTGTAAATTCAAATAGACAACTCAAGGAACTATGGCACTTAACATTAAGTACTAAATATAATCAATGGGGAGAATAAATAAATATAATTCTTATGAAACTAATGTGGAAAACAAAAAAACGAGAAAACATAAAAAATTTGTGTCGATTACATCACGCAAAACCAAGTAATGTACTTTTACTATTTTACATCGCATCAGCACATGACTATCTTTGCTCGTATTCATATATTAAATTAACAAACAATAAAAAAAAACGTAAAGGTTTGAGTTGTAAAGAATGGCGATTTGCCAATCATAGAAGAGAAGAAATCTTTAAAAGTATTTATAAAAGGTAATTTTTCTAAACACTCTACAAAAACAATAACAAAAGCTATAATGGTTACTTTGGTCGGGATAAAAAACTGAAATGGAGAAAGATAGTTTCGTTTGCTCCCAAATTTTAGACTTTCATAATGGAGCAGAAGTTTTAAAAATTGCATCTAACAGTCTATAGAAGGAAAGAGAATAAAAAAAGATTGATTGATATGTAAATTTGAACAGCATGCTTTACAATGCTCACAGTAAAAGCAATCTACTGATAGAACTAAATATCGATGGTACTCGAAGGAAACCTTAAATAACGATGCCATCGTAACATACACTGGAATCATCGCTTTCCATACGAATTCTGATATGCGCTATCGTTAACTAAAAAGTATTACGAAAGCTTAATCAGTTTTTCTGCTTTCAAAACCATATGAAAAATGTTACAAGATGAACTCTGAAGAAAATCTTTAGTAAGCGTAACTGTTACCAGGAGCATTATTATCGTTACGGTTCCGTCCTAGAGGACAGTGATAATGTTTTAACTTATTTGTAAAAATTATTTATTCAATAACAATTATTTATTCAGCAAATATCTCAATATTTTGACAATATTTTGCTTATCATATGAACAATACTGCTCATATGTATCTATATTTTCAAAGTAAATGTCATCTGTTACAAACCCAGCTAACAACCAGTTTTGCATTCTCGTTTCGCTAAATATTTAGGAAAACTAAGAACTTCTCTTGACGAGTTATGTCTTGTCTTGAAATGTTCCAAATAACAATAACAAAGCCGTTCTGACAACAATTTCAGAATTAGTTTTTTTCAATTTCAGAATTTCAGAATTAGACATTAGTTAAGAAGTAATTAATGAAAGTTATTATTGAAAAGTCATCCTTTAATTAGTAAGCTTGCAATAAAAAAAATTAATACTAATCGAAGTATCGAAATATGGGATCAAGTTAGAAATTTCCAGACTCTTAGATTTTGAACAGATAAAGTTTGAGAGTTTCCAACCTAAGACAAATGTGATCAAAAAAATTGGAAGTATTACGTTAAAGTATGTAGCAATTTGTTCCGCTTCACTCGATGGCTCCAATTGTACAATTAATTCACGAATCTTTCCAATAACTTGATTTAATATGTCGACTGTAATCTGCAACGAGTAACGTCATAGATGTCATCATGATAAATGGCAGCTTAATTAAAATTTTATTACTCCTAAGTAAACTGAATTTCTATTTCCTTATCCATATCTGTTAATATCAATTCATAAAAGTTATAGTACTTAAAATCAGTTGTTGAAAAACTACTAACCTCATCACATCCATCTTCGTAGAAATAAAGATAGTGATTAAAGATAGTTATGTAAAGCTGTACTTGAACAACTGGATCCATGCACTGAGATGCAACACGTAAAGCTTTTTTTAAGCAGTTTACGACCTGAAAAAAATGTATTGCATATTGACTTGAAAAAAAACATTGGCCTTAAAATCATTTGTTTTTATTCGAATTTTTTTCGTAAATTATTTGAATACATATAATTTTGTAAACCTCAGCACGAAATCACAGAAGTGTTATGGCCAAACACATACTTCTACATTTGTATAACAACAAACGGATGAACAAAATACCTGCACGGAATCTTTCATCGAAAGATCTTTGTCTGCTGCATGATCATTCCAAAACAGGTACGCCTCAACGAAACAATCATTTCATTATAAATTTCTTTTGCTAATGTGTGCCATTTTAATATTCTTTAAATTTGATTTTGAGAGATCTTAAATCATGATTGTACTCTAATTACAATGCTAGTTCACTAAAATGACAAAACGTTTGTTGCTTGTTTTTGAACGAAAAAATACCTATATATTCTAATGATATTTCTCATGATATAACAATTTCCACCAAACATAATTCAGTAAACTTACTACTAAGCAAACAGCTATACACTGGTCCGCCTTTTTGAAAAGCTTGGCAGAAGCATGGGCGCACTGAGTACGTAGTGGTTCATGATTCTCTTTTGTGAAGCATTTTACTCGCTCAAGAGTACCTGTACTTTGATTTCAAATCAGATTCAGTCGTAAAACATTTAAAATTATGAATTATCGCTTTGAACAGCCTCAAAAACTATATAATTAGTATTTTTAGGGTCTAATGTGTAACCATTTGGTATTATAAATATTAAAACGAAATCACATTCAATTTTGACAGTTCTGAATTGAGGAGAAACATTTACTATGACGCACATACCTATAAGTAATGACATTGCCGCCAGCTGTGCTCGACTATCAGCAACTTCCTCCTCATAAATGGAAAAAGCCTATAAAAATATCCTTAGCAAACAATGCAACAAGTTTCATCATGCGCTTACAACTGTAAATACAGGTTTAAGAAATCTAAAAAGTAATAACCTTGGAAAAAAATTCATACGCAACAGTCACGCTGTTTTCAAATTTGATCTGATCAGCAATCAATACTCCCTGCAAAACTTAAATTCATATATAAGCAAAAACCTTACTTCCTATTAATAAATTTATTTTCAATTTCCTCCATCTATGATAAAATGAGGCATTTTCCCAAGAATACCGTTAATGTAATGGTGGTTATGATTAAATAAAGAGATTAAATAAAATAAGCCAAACATCACACTGTAAATTAATTCTTGACGAAAATCGATCAAAAATATGGACCTGCAGATACAATCGTATTGGTAACTGTGAAAGTTCTGCTGATGAAACCAAAGCGTCTACAGTATGCATACAAAAGACGAACATTTTCTGCAGTTTTGCACCACGTTTTTCCTGGATTAGAAATATAGCAATAGAAAGCATTAGATACCAGGAATTTGGCATAAAAAAAAGGAAACATTTACAATAGAATGCACAAATACGTACGTTTTTTCTCTATT